TCGGGGGGGGGGCGGCGGTACCCCAGGCGAAAAAAAAGCAGCCGGCGCGCAGTCAGAGGGAGGCCGGTCGGGTACGGGGGGAGGCTTTCTGAGGTGATCCGGGTGGCTGGGAGTCTTTGTGTGTGTAATACCCCTCCGAGTTGCTATGAGCCTTTGTGGGGGTAAAACGTCTACAAGCTGCTATGACTGCAGTCTTTGACCATTTGAGCCCCCCCCCCCCCCTCCCCCCGCGCGCTCCCCCGCCTCAAGCGCCTACCCCCCCCCCCCTCCCCGCCCCGCCCCCGCCTTTCCTCCTCTCCCCTTCCGTCTCGGCTCCACTAATCCCTCTCTCGCCATCGCCTGCAGGTGCATGGATGCGAGCCTCGCACTTTTGCTGGGTGCCGCCGGGCCAGCGATACGGCGACGCGCGGCGGCACATCGTCTCCGTCTTCACCGGCTGCATCCCGGTGATTACCATCCCCGACAACCACAACACGCTCGAGGAGCTGCTGCCATGGGAGCGCTTTGCGGTGCTGGTGCCGCCCGAGCAGTTGCCCCGGCTGCCTCAGCTCTTGCGCTCGATCTCGCCGCAGCGGCGCGAGGAGATGCGTGCGGCGCTGCGGTGCGTCTGGCGCCGTCTCTGGTACAGCTCCGTGTACGGTCCGTGCTTTGGCGAGTCGGCCTCGACGGACGCCTTCGACGGCTTGTTGCGCGTGCTCGCCGCCAGAGTGGCGCCGAGTGGTGAGCTGAGGCGAGGCCCCGCGCGTGCGCACGCTCCAGACGTGGACGCGTGCTTCCCGGGCGGCCGAAAAGTTGAGGCGGTGTGAGTTCACGTCTCGCGAAACATGATACACAACGCTTTTTGACAGATAGACGTGTATATGGCACCTCAAGGGAAGGTGTGCGGCGAGCCCTGTATCATCACTCGGCCAAGCATATCTCCTGCAGGTACTGCCATAGCTCTTTCCTGCCGACGCCGGTGGTGGACGAGAATGGGATCGGCTGGTCGGGCGGCAGCGCCAGCCCCCTGCGCAGGGCGGCCATGCAGTTGTCGAGCTGCGACGGGCGCACCTTATCCACCTTCGTCGCGACGACCACCGAAGGGATCTCGTGGAAGGCCAAAAAGTCGAGGATCTGCGCGTCGACGGCCTGCGGCTCGCGCTGCGAGTCGATGAAGACGACCGCGGCGCGCAGGTTCTCGCGCTGGCGGAGGTACGCCTCCACGTTCCTCCGCCACTCCTCCTGCAGCTCGGCCGACACCTTTGCAAAGCCGTATCCGGGCAGATCGGTGACGGTCAGGGCGCTGCCGACCGAGAAGAGGTTGATCAGCCGCGTCCGGCCGGGCGTCTTTGACACCTGCGCCACCCTTTTCCGCCGACCGGACAGCGCATTCAGCGCCGACGACTTGCCGACGTTGGAGCGGCCGACGAGAGTCACCTCGGGCAGCGGCGAGAAGGGCATGCCGCGCGGGTCGGCAAAGCTGTTGACAAAGGTGACGCCGGACCTGTCGACCTCCTTGGCCCAGCTCATCGTGGCGAGGCCGGCGCGCCGCAGGCATGGGGGCGGCAGCAGGACGAGCGAGCGAGCAATGGAGAGCAACGCACACATCGCCGCCACGGGTTTCTTGCGGCCTTAGTCTCGAGGTCTCGAGGCGGATATCCTTGGCCAGGAGCAGATACGTCAGTTAGTTGTGTTGACGCTGGGATCGTGTCCTCATCCATTCATCCCGGCGAATTTTTTTTCTCGGCCTTAGTCTTGGTTCTCGACGAGGATATCCTTTGGCCGCGTTGGGTAACAAGGATTGCATGCCACTAACTATCAAACATTAAGCAGCGGAGGTGTGCCGAGGGGCGCGAGCTATGCAGGTGAAAAATAAAATATTCTTAGCTTCAAGCCCCCCTCCGAGACTAGAGACAGTCACCACCCGTACACAGGAGAGATGGGAGTGCCCCCCGCCCCCACTTGCCCTGACTACACAGGATAGCGTGCCCCGATAACGGCGACACATAGTGGGGGACACTGCGCAAGGAGGGGGTGCGAAGGCTCATTGGGGTACTAGGTGGGACCATGAGGGGGGGTGGGCGGGGTCCTGTGGGGGTGAAATGTTGCGCGGCGAATTCGAACCTACCCCCGGAGACGTCAAGGTCGTCTGTTCCCTCAGCAGCAGCGGGGAGCACGGTCGGAAGGGCGCTTTTGTCGCTTTCGGCAACACTGAATCATTCTACCGGAACATGGTCATGGGGCATGGGCCCTACTGCGAGGAGGGGGAGGGGGGGAGGGGGGGGGAGGGAGAGGGGGGGGGAGAGGAGGAGGGGGGGGGGGAGGGGGAGGGGTACGGGGGGGGCGGCCTGG